GGAAATAAAGGCAAGTGCATGTGTATCACAAGTACCTTTGTGAGAGTAAGCATAAGTGATAATGCTATCCTTTGATGATCATTGGTTAGAAGCTTCCTCAGTCCCATATTTCGCTACTTTCTGCTTCTTCAATAACTTCAGACACTCATGATTCTCACTGATAAAAATCACACTTGTCTCTCCCTTTGCTATCATCATATTTGTCCGGTAGCATTCTTTTCCACCTTTTCGACCACCATAGCCACAACTACGACCTCCTCCCTATCCACATTCACCAGTCTCTCTCCTTAGGTGGCCTATGATGAGTCTTGTTCAGATGTCCGTTTTCACCACAGTTGTAGCACTTGTGTGTCTCCCCGCGGACACTTATTATACTTGAGTCGGAGGCAACTAATGCTGATCATGCTCCCGGAAGTCCGCTTGACTCAGAGTGTAGCTTCTTGCGTTTCTCTTTCTATATCATCGCAGCAATGCCCTCATCCAGTGAAGGGATAGTCTCCTGAGTTAGAAGGAAAAATTTCTGATCAAAGACCAGGTTCAGATGGGTCAGAAACTGTTTGGTCTTCGTCCCGACATAAATTTTTCTCAACTTTGTCCAGATGTCCCTCACCTTCCGAACGCCATCTACTGAGGATGCAATTGACGAAATCGAGTTGAGTAGCCAGGTGTAGATTAAGGCGTGTGTGGTTCTTTACTTATCTCCCTCAACACTATCACTCTTTTTGGTTTGTCTCCGATCAGATCCCTCTAGTCTCTTCTCTACTAGAGCAACCTCGACCCGACGCAACCAACTTAGATATGTGGTCAGTCCATCAAGCTTCAGATCCACAGGAAGGAGATTTAGCTTCACTTGTGTTGAAGGACATGATGAGGTAGTAGTTGACATCGAAACTCTAGCTCCCTATATAAGCCCAACCAAGACCTTCAGAACTTTCCAAATTATATCCATCTCCCGCATAAAATTGAAAGGCAAAATAAATCTATTAACTTTATCCAAATTACATTACAATATTTGTATCATTTACTCTCATAATTATTAAATTTATTAATTTTTTAATCATGGTGAATCTTGTAGTTATTTGATTTGTTTTGATATGAGCACAATAGAAATTTTAATCGATTCCTTTTATGCTACACTCATTTGTATTCACATATCTACACCTTTACGTTTATGCCACTTCTTTCCTATGTATTTACATATCTAACAGTTAAACTTTAATTTTTACGTAGAGCCGCCTTATCTTTGGATGTAAAGGTGAATTTTATTTTTTAAAAGTTAAAATAGTGCTATTTTTGATGTGATATGCAAATTTTGGTGGCATAAGTGTAAAAAGTAAATTTTAGGTGTTGGTAGCTATAAATAAGTTTCTTCATAGATGATTAGTAAGATGAGCATAAATAAATTTGAACAAAAATTTGCTGCTGCTGCTGCTGCTGCTAATAATATGATAACTATATGGTTATGATAACTAATTTGTATATCTTTTGTAGCAATATGTTGGGATCAATGGTTCCCTGAGGCTGCAAGGGCTATGGTTCTGCAAGGTGCTGAGATACTCTTTTACCCGACTGCTATAGGATCTGAACCTCAAGATTCTGAACTCGATTCTAGAGAACACTGGAAGCGCGTTATGTGCGGCCATGCCGGAGCGAACTTGGTAACTTCTTAACTTTTCTTCTTCCATCGAAACCCAGATCATGAACCCCAATATTAGGTCTGACTCACTTTTTCCTATAATGCCGTATGTTTCCAGGTTCCTCTTGTGGCCTCTAATAGAATAGGAAAGGAAACAATTGAAACAGAACATGGTGATAGCACAATAAGATTCTATGGAAATTCATTTATAGCAGGTTTCTTTTTTTTTTATTTTTTTGGCTTTATAATTCCTTTTTTTTCATTCTGTAATATTCATGGAAAATTGTTGGTTATTTTTGAAATTAAAATGGAAATCAGGACCGACTGGGGAAATTCTGGCTGTTGCGAATGATGAAGATGAAGCTGTTTTAACAGCTGAGCTCAACCTGGATAAGATCAAGTCCCAGAGGCATAGCTGGGGGGTTTTCAGGGACCGGCGCCCAGATTTATATGAGGTTCTCCTAACGTTAGATGGAACCAGAAAATCATCATCAGGTTGAAGTTCCTTAATTTCAATATATATAATATATAATGTTGAACAGTTATGAAATAATTTATTAGTAGGTTGCATAATATTTGCAATTGTTTTGCTGATATTTATTCAACTGGGGAATGTTAACCACATTTTAAGCACGAGAACGGTTTTGAGAAGAATTTTGGAGTAGTTTATATTGTTCCTTGTATAAAATCCAAGGGTAAGGAGGCAACATTTTTTTAGGAAGATTTACATGAATGCCATTCTTATTTGTTTACATATCTAAGGCATAAACCTCAATTTTAAAAGGTTCATTTCATATTTTAAAAATTAAAATGATGGTGTGCTTGATGTTTATATATGAGCTTTCCTACTATCTAGCATGGCGTGCTAATCTTTATTTTGCAGGTTGAGTATTTTCTTTTATATATTTTTCATGTATATTTTTAGAGTGTAGGATCAAGCCTGTAATAGAAATAAGACACTGGCACGAATCCCGAATGTGCTTTGTTGTGAGCCAAGCTCTTTTTCTTTCCACTCTATAGGCACCTATATCACACTCATGATGGGTGTAAACCCACCTACCACTCTTTTACATTTTTCTAGATACTTGCCCATTTTTTCTTCCACCTTTTCCAACTACTTATACATGCGATCATAGGTCGTTGGAGAAGGAAAAATCTAAAGGGACAAATATGAAGAAACATCAAGCTGTCTTGGAGGCAGCCTTAACCTTATGAACATCTTATTTCTTTGTTTTTAAAGTTTGTGTGTTTTGTGTAATCCTCCTAACCATCTTTGTACATCTCCATCAAATCTCTCAATAATGAATAGCTTCCATGGTAGAAAAGTATGACACTTGTGCATTGCCTTATTCTTAAAAGTAAGAATCAATATACTCTTTCTCTACTCATCAGACATCTTTTTAGTATTTGAAGTTTTATTAAAAAATTCTTATTTTAACATATATTTTTCACCTTTTTAAATATTTAATATATTATAAATATCACTAAGAATTTTTAACATCTCAACTTAATCTCTTACTCTCTAGGGGCCACCTTTTATTTATTTATTTATTTTCATATTATTATTCCACCAATAAATATTTTTCTTTATAAGAATTTTATTTTGAGTATTAACTTTTAGTATTTTAAATTATATTAAAAAATTTAATATACCAACAAATCATTAAAACTTCAAAATACCATAATACTTCTTAGATTTCTACATTTCATTTTTTTTTTTAAAACTTCAACATCTATTTTTCTAATGCGACAACTAAAAATTGTTATTACTTATAATATCAATATCATTAAACTCAAATCATATTTTCGCTCATACATATATCTTTCATTCACTTTAATGTCCAATATATCATAAAAATTACTAAAAAAATTTAACATCACTAATTACTCTCTTCTTATAAACCACCTTTTATTTAAGTCATAATGCCAATTGAAGTGAAATTATTTAAAGAAAATTTAATTCTTCAAAATTACTTAAAATTAATTGTTAATGATCAATTGAGCCACCAAAAAAAAAAATGAAGATTAAGTCGGGTATAATTTAAAATTAGCAAAACAAGCAAGTTGAACCAGTACATGTTAGATCTCCGTTGCCCCTACATGTGCCTGCAAATGTGCACACATAGGCTCTCCAGAAAGCAGCAAACTTGGGATGTACTGCTCTAGCAGTGATGCAGGTTCTTCCAAATCATTGAATTTATCTGTACCGAAACATAAATTTAAGCATCAAAATGGATGATTATGATAAAAAATCATAATATGAATGATGAGAAATAAGAACAAACTCACCAAAAGTCCTTCAGAGATGTCTTCCCAGCTTTTACATCCATGCCCACAAAGCTCCCCTCTAAATGCTGGCTTGTAAAGTTTAGGCCACAATGATGATCTTGCTTGTCGCATGAAAAGGAAAATTTACATAAAATACCAATCAATTCTTATGCATTTACATTTCTAACACCTAAATTTCAGCGTTTACATACAAGCACTTTTAAAAGTTAAAAGTTGTGGTTAAAAGGTATTTTTAACATAATAAGAAAGTTTTGGGTGGTCTAAATGTTAAAAAAGTAGTGATTATATGTTAGACATGTAAATACATAAGAATTAGGTGGCATGAATGTAAATGCCCCAAAAGCAAAACATGTAGTTCTGAGCAATGAATTAGCAGAATGATTGTACAGAGCTGAATTTCACTTAAGCAAAAAAAACATACTTTCTTTGATCAGAGCACATAAGAACAGCATGATCAGTACTGATCTTAAATACTCTAAAGAGAACTGCAGTGAGCTCCGCAGGTTCATGAGAATCCAAAACAAGCGGGCCAAAAGTCCCTATGCTTCCTGAAACTGAAGAATCCACTTGATCGTTGCCGGCCATCTGCACATTGTCGAGTTTCCACTCATGGTGCACAAGCTGAGCCATTTCGAGCTATAGAAGCTCATATTCTACCTCTATATCAACCTGTTCGTCATGGTTGAGAAAGAAGAGCTTCTAAGAATCAGGAAGTACTGCGAGAAAACTTGAATAGGTTATAGATAGCATTGTAGAGCACTGGTTCAATTTGGATTTATTGGCAATTGGCTTCAATGAAGAGCTCATTGAACAGACAAATTGATATAGTTTTCAAACAATATCACAATAAAGGATTGTTTGGTTGCAAGATTTGCCCTAAACCTTTCCAAAAAATAGTCTTAAAATCTTTAATTATATTACCTTCTTAAATCTCATTTTCTCTATTTTTAAGGCAAAATATTTATTTTACTAAATGCTAGTAAGAGGGTAAGTTGAGGGGCACCACTCACCTTATGCGTCTCATTCTTCCTAAATCTTGAAACTATATGCCAAACAAAATATAAACTGAATCAAACATCTATCATGTAAAATTGATTAACAGTGTTGGGAAGAACAAAAGAAGCAGACAAACCATTGAACCGGTTTTGAGGTGGCTGGAAATGGAAAGAAGCTCTGTACTGTTTGCTTTCGATAGACAAAGGGTCTTCAGAATCTGGATTTAATACAAGTCCCGAGAAGAGTTGCTCCAGTCGGTACAGAACCACAGCAAGATGGCGGCGAGCTATCATCACCAATCTATAGACTTGTGCTCATTCGAAGGTAAGATCACATCTGCCATAAGGAGAAGGGATTATATATATATAGTATTTGTAACCTTAAGAGCATGTGCTGTTTTCAAGAAATCAGAAAGCCACCGCTCTTGCCTCTGAGGACGTAGGCAAATTGCCGAATCTCTTTAAATCCATGTGTTCTTTCTTGTGTTCGTTGATTCTGTCGTTTTTTAACCCTAATTTATCAAAAAGCTTGTACTTACGCAAAACTTCATAATAGCTGAGCAGGAATTTTC